AAAGGGAAAAACCAAAACACTGATAAGAGAGCATCACGGTTGGTGTTTACCAGGCGGTACCTGGAAGATGGTAAAGAGAACCATAAGGAATTGTGGAGGAGTCTCATCGTCACAGAGTTGAGGCTCCAAAGACCTGGGGAAGAATCAAAAGGATGCAGTCAGAAGCTTGAGGTTCTCTGTCAAGGAGACGCGTACCTGCGCCCGGAGTAGCACAGAGATGAACTTCTCAGTGCCCTGCTTGTCTCCGTAGGAGTAGCCATACAGCACTGCCCTTTCCTGCTCCCTGAGCCCCAGCTGCTGCGGCCTCACTTTTCTCTGTGTTGGGGTTGAGGTCTTCTAACATAACCACGTCACAGGAAGGTGATGTCAGGTGTGGCAGAGGCTGCGGCATCTGAAGGTGAATGGAAAGGGCAAGAGACAAGTTCTCCCAAAAGACAAGGACGGTCCCTCAAGGGGAGGAAGTTCATTAGGAAAGATTTCAGGCAAGTTGATTGGAAATTCCAGGGCTCCTTACAAGATTCAAAATGGCCGTGGATTAGTTATAACCTTCCTAGAGAATCCATATTAAAGGAAGAAAGAGTTCATAGTGGTTAAAATCAGTGGAAAAAGATACCCAATTACCTGTAGAATTTTAATTTTATCAACCGCTTTCATTTAAATCTATTATTTTTCTGATACTATTTACACATTTGAAAGTTCCAAATAATAAAGACACATAAAAGATGGAAGGTAAAAAACCTCATAGCCCCACCCTTCAAATATAGCCACTATTTACAATTCAGAGTATTTCAGTTCTTTTTTTTCTTTGCACATAAAATTGTGTAAATATTTATTTTAAATTTAAAATATAGAATCATACCTTATAACCAGCTCTACTGTTTTTTTTTCATTTAAATATTATCTTGGAAATTCTTTAATGCCTATTCAAATATATTTGCCTCATATATTTGAATGACTATACACATATCTTTAGAAATTTTTGGAACTATTACTTTCGTGTAAATTCCTAGAAATGAAATGTTAACATTATGCATATTTCAAGTTATAACGGGTATTGCCCACTCTAGAAACTGTAGTACAGCTTTATTCTCTTACTAACAATGTAGAAAAGTATCTTTTGACTGTTGATATTCTTATCAGACTGGTTCTTATCAATTGCTTTAATCTTTACAAATCATACGAGTGACTAATATTTTCTGTTTGTTTTACTATATCTTTTTAAATTTATTTCTGAGGTTGAGCATTTTTTAAATGTTCATTGGCTGTTTTTATCTCTGTTACTTTTTCACGCACTTTACCCATTTTTCTATTTTCCCATTCACCTTTTCTTACTGGTTTCTAAGGACTCCATACATATTTAAAGTCATTAATCCTTTATTGTATGTGTTACAAAACTTGGTTCTGGCTCACTTTGTACTTTGTGCTCACACATCTGATAGCCGAAATTCATGGCTACTCTCAATGGTTTCTTTTCACTTTGCTCATGTTTGGTTTTTCTTAAGGATACTTGTTTTGTTTGTGTGCTTGTTTAATGATATCTGTATTCTGGTCAGTTTTGTCCTGAGATGAAGTCTGTTCTGAGAAGCTGTGACAGACTTGAGTTCCCAGCAGTGATATGAAACCTTTCTTGCCTCACCCAGAAATGTAAACTTGCTGAGCCCACAGAAATGTCATCACTCTCTAATCCTATGCTCTGTCATATAAAAGGCACGTGTTTAAGTTCATGTCCCTGTTCTCTTAAAAAATTGAGTTTTGCACAGAAGAGAATCAAAATCATACATAATTAGAAGGAACTGGAAGATAATCAGGTCTACCCGATGTTTTGAGTACATCAGGACATCTTGCAGAGAACAGATGGGACATTTTGCACACTCTGCAGAGCACCTAAAACCCAACCTTGTTGGGTATCAAGTGCCCAGATAGTCCAAGGTCATAGAGAAGATTCTAGTCTGGTCCATTCTGTGTCTCTTCCTGTGCCAATACTACACAATTTTAGCTAACATAGCTCCCAGCACTCAAAATAGTTAAATCACTTTTATCAGTCATTTTCAGAATTCATGGCTACTCTCAGTGATTCACTCTTACAAAATAACGTTTATGTTACTTTATTGAGCTAAAAATAATTTTATTGCTTTGTTAACTAGTACTGCATAGAAATTTTAGATTTTATTTAAGAAAAAGTGGCATGTGGATGATTGATTCTTTCCAAAAATAAGATTTTACTTTACATGATTTTGTCTTCTTTTAATTTAATGTTTTTGTGTCCTTGTTTCTTCTTATAAATCCAGGATGTTTTTTGTAACTTTATCCCTAGATGTTTTGTGGTTTCTCTTTCTATTTGAGTCACATTCTTCTTTCATTATAATTTACTGTTTGCATACAGAAAACTATTGATTTAGTATAATAATTTTGTCAGCCTCCCTCAGGTAAAACTCTTAGCAGTTTTGATTATTTGTGGTTACTCCCCAATGGTTTTTCAATCATAAAACCATAAATCTGTAATAATTATTACTTAAACTCCTTGATGCTGGTATGCAGGTTTTTCATTTTCTTCTTGCATTGAATTGCATTGACTGACAATTACTGGAGCTTTCAGAGATCATATAACTCAATGTTTTCATTTTATGGAGGAAGAAACTATGGTCAAACAAGAAAGGTCAAAATAATGTCACAAGGTAAGATGCCCCTGATTTTACAGAGCTCTTTCTGTTACCACAATGCAAAAATTGCCTTATTTCTTCCCAATTCCCCAATTTTCTTCCTTTTTGTTTCTCTTATTTTTCCCTTCTCATATCAAAGATGAACTTACTTAACATCCAAAAAGCAAACAAGATTTTTCAAAACTTGTTTTTTTTTTTAAAGGAAAGTTTTTTAAAACAGATGCTTCAGTAGCTTTTTGTTACATGGGATTTCTTCCATAAAAACCTTTGATTTCTCTTCCAGAAAGTGATGAATTTCAACACAAGTGTTAAGCACAAGCTATAGTTTCAGCCCAGGTGTCCTTGGGAGTCAGAAAGGAGTCTGTGTACAGTGAAGGAATTGAGAGAATTTTAATGACCACACACACACACACACACACACACACACACACACACACAGTGCTTCTGTGACCCTTGGACTGAGTTGAAAGACCACTCTTTTAGGGTCCAAAATTGAGCCAATTTAGTTCAAGTCAAGATTTCTATTTGACAAGTTAGAGCCAGAGAAAATTTCCTTTGGGTCTAGTGATTTGGGTTACTACTATTCATAAGCCCTGAGAGAACTCACTGGAGGCTGTAGAGAAAGTGATAAAAATTATGAAATGTAAGGATGGTTGATGGTTTTAAGGAAAGAAACTAGTAATAAACGAAGGGAGGGAAGTTGGGGGAAAAAGAAGAAGTGTGTGGAGGTGGAGAGGGAGAGGGAGAGAGAGAGAAACTTCTCAACTTCTCTCCTGGAGTTTTGGGGCACTAAAGTCCCCTCTTGTTCCCCATGGCAGGGCACATCCACCAGGGCAGCCACCACCGAGCAGATGGCCCTGTTGGCATTTCTATTCTCTTCTCTTTGGTGAGAAAACACAATGCAGTCTGCTCTATTCTCATTCCACTTGGGGCCTTCAGAGATCTGAGCTTACTAACACCTTCTCTGACTAGACAGGTTGTACAGAATGAACCCTGTTTCTCTGACTAAAAATATACCGTTGTCCTCTTGTCATCATGACCCGTTGGATGTTCTGTTACCTGTTGACCTTCATGTCACCAATGAGACTACAAGGTCTTGACATCCCCAGGCTGGATTTGGTTACACTTTGTCTCCTCAATGTTGAGCCCTTCGGTATAAACCAGCAGATAACTTCAACCTACAAACAGGAAGCCCCTTTCATAAAACCACAAAAACTTGGAATTCTTCTCTCTTCTCTGCTAACTTTTCCCGCCATCTGAAGACAACACCCATGCTCCCCCAAGCCTTCCCTTCTCTTCTCCAAAGAGCCTCAGAACTATGCTCCTCAGACAGGGGCCTCCGACCCCCTCAGAGGTGATCATCCACTGAGGTGATCGTGCAGAGCACACTCCAAGCTGCCACAGTCTTGCTTCAAGTGAAAGCCCAAGGTGGAGCCCTTTCAAGCTCCCAATATTTTACTTTGGGTCAATTAAAGTGAAATATATTATCTGACTTAGGTAGCTATGTGGTGTTCGGCATTTGACCACACAGCTGTAAACACGAAAATCAGCATCGAATGTGCCTGAGGATGAGTGGCAGGGGCATTGAGCCATCACCACGTGCCCACTGCTCTGCATGATCACATCACTTCATCCTCAAAATGGTCTTTCGAGGCAGGTTCTGACAATGAGTTTGTTCTACAGGTGAGGCAACAGGGCCACACAGTGGTCAAGCAGGAATTGAACTTGTGTCTGAGTCAAACCTCTGCTCACAGCCACCCTGTAACATCACTTCATACAGCGGGGGCTCTTCCCTAAAAACAGCTTCAAATAACTCTAGAATATTATGAAGAAAAAAACTAAATGTGAATTAAGATTTTGGGATACCTAGGTTCTGGCTGTGCCTCTGACTTACAAGTCACGCCACCTCTCTGGGCCTGGGATTTCTCATCTGCGAAATGATGGAACTGGATGAGACGACATCCTGAAGCCCCTTCTCATTCCGAGATCTGTCCTTCTAGGTGCTTCTGAGAGGGGCACATATGCCAGAGGGAAGAGGGGGTGAAATAGGGGTGAGAATGAAATGCCCAACTCAGTTTAATGGATATGCTGCCTGAGAATATAGGAACTGAAACCAGCTGGTGATGAACACTCAGCCAGTCCCAAATCCCCCCAGTCTGCACAGCGCCACTCACCCCCTGTCCCCCCTGTGGGTGGAAGGAAGCTTGCTCGGTCCCTTGTTCCTGGAGGTACCCTAACGGGCTGACTGTGTTCTGATCACACTGCAGCTTGTGGACCAGAGAACCCATTGAGTGTGCAATTTTGAAACAAGCAGCATGCTCCGGGCAGCTGTCAAAGGACTGAGACAGGCACCCATTGGCATTTGTAAGTGGGCTTGGCTAATAAGCTAAAGTCTTAAGGACAAGTGCACTGGGACACTCGGGTACTTAGCACAGTCCTGCTTCTCAAGAGGGTTATGGGGATGGGACTTTCCCCACCAGGAGCTCAGCAGGCATGCGGAAGTGTGTCAGGGCATCTGGTGCCACCTTACAGAGCACCCAGGCAGGGAACTCCTCATGTCACCAATGGGGAGACCGAGACCATGAGAACTGGAAGGCATGGAACAGGTGAGAAGAATGGGAAGGTATGTTTCTATTACAATGTGGGACTTCTTCAGGGCTAACACTGTAAGCAAATGGAAAAGGTAAGATCTCGGTGCAGAAGGGAGCAAACCAAAAGGAAGTGGTGTACCATTGTGGGAATAAAAAGACAGAAGATAGATCTGAGGGGGACAGACGTTGAAACAAAGCATGAAATTATAAGTGGACCTGTGTTCAACCATTGAATGAGCAGTCAATCGGAGGGCAGTGGAGAGGGCGGTGACATTTGGCTGAGACGCGGTGAAGAGTCTTGGTATCTTCAGTGGCTTGGACAGACACAGAGGACGCTCCACTAGAGGGCATTTGAAATAAGTGGGTTACAAATGCCTTGGGGTCGAAACCACAATTATCATTTGGAAATACGATTAGAAAGTGCTCACAAAAGGAAATACTACATTATTCTGTAATTTCACAGGCTTATCATCTTTTATTTTCCAATTTGTCTTCTAACCTTCAATCAGAACCCTCGGAAAGAGTATCATTATTAGTCAAGTGTGGATAAGCCAAGAGGACACCACTCAGGGTCAACCCTAAAAACGTCCCCCACATAATGAAAACACATATCCACAGAAAGGTGCATCTAAGAAGGTTCCTTGCAGCTACGTGAGAGCAGGAGGTGATCTCACGAAGCCTGGGTCCTGGTGATGAGAAGTGTGCACTCTGAACCCCAAGGCTGCCACTAACTGGCCACGTGGTCATACGCAACTTACTCAACCTCCCCGAGCTTCCTCATCTTCATTTACAAAATAAATGGTAGAGCCTACTTCACCAGTGATGGCGGATTAAATGAGTAAAGCTCGTGGGTAAGTGCTGGAAAGAGGAGGTGTTTAAAAGCATTGTAATGACGGTGGCGGTGAGGGAGGCTGGGTGGGGAGGTTGGGATGTGCGTGGGAGTGGAGGCCCACGCTAGGACGCTTCACCCAACCACCATGCACCATGGTGTTCTCTATGTCCACTGCTGCCACGGTGCTTCTTTTTGTTTTGTTTTTTAATTTTTATGAGTTTATTTGAGCCTAAACTGATGACATATGCTAGGGAGCAAGATCTCAAATGCTCCTGCCACCATGTGTTTGAATTCATGTCCATGTCAAATATAGCTTACAAGACATTTCCTATTGCTTATGACTTTGTCACTCAGACAAGACATCAGGGTCTTAGAGTCCCTTTCTTGGAACTCCCCCCTGGCGATGATTTTGCATGCAGTGTGCTGTGTGCTTCATACCAAAGAGGAGAGTGCAGCCCACAGTGCGAAACTGGGCTGTAGACACATGTCACTAGGGGGGCAAGCTCCAGCTCTTCAGAATGTAGACAATACAGCTCCGACCGCTCTATGAAAATGACCAGAACAATGCAAACTAGCCATGCCATATAAAAAGTGAAGTCAAAAAGGGAAAAGAAGAGAAAAGAAAAGAGAAATGGAAAGGAAAGGAGAGGAGAGGAGAGGGGAGGGGAGAGAAGGGAGGGGAGGAGAAGGAATGCCCAGACACATGGCACGAACATTGAGCTGCAGTAGCGGTGAAAGTCACCTAGGGAAAGGTGAAGGGTGTGGAGGAAGGTTCATCGGAATGGAGCAGCCCAGGAAAGGAATGTGTCTCCTTACTGGAGACGTGTCTCTCAGGTCCTACTAGAGCAGAAAAAAGAAATTTTAACCAGCCACATCAGTCCACTCAGGAGCTGGTTCTTTCTCTCATCTTGTCTGTCACTGATATTGCTTAAGTCCCCCATACACACACACACACACACACACACACACACACACACACACACTTCTCTTCAGTTCGGGCTCCAGGCTTCTCAGATAGGCTGATTTAGTCTCTGAAGCTGCACAGTTTCACATGCACAGGCCGTGGAACTAGATCCTTTCACGGCTGAGGAGTCCTTGGAAAGACTAATTTAATGCCCTCAGTTTACAGACGAAAAACCTGAGGCCCTGAGTAGTCAAGGCCTTAGAAATGAGTTCATGGCGAGTCTGCGGTACACTGGGGCCTTCTCACCTGAAGCCCACCACGCGGAGCTGCCATGCCTGCCAAGGGGCAGCCCCATCCTGGCTCCTCCAGGGCTAGAATCTGGGCAGCTCTTTCTCTCCACTCACCTCTAGAAGAGAATGCAGGCAGAGGGGTGAGGATCCTAATGGCTGCCAGCCTCCCAGAGGTCAGCGCCTAGATGGGAGGGCAGGAGCCTGGGTGTCTGGGAAATGAGGAGCCCCCAACTCTGCAGGGATATGCGTCTGAGGGGAGCAGAGTTGGAGTCGATGAGCTATGGGAGAAGGGTCTGCTCTCACATGTGATGTGTGTGCGTGTGTGCGCATGTGTTGCTGGGGGAGGGGTTGGAGGCTCAGACTTTTGAAGGTTCTCTGATCCAGCCGTTCCACTTAACACCTGCTCTTCATGTTGGCAAATGCCCAATAGCTCTCCCTGGTCCCCATCTGCCCAACTATTACCAACAATAACCTGAGCAAACCAGATCTCTTGATATCTTAAGATATCAGGTCTTTCTTCCAAGCTAATTCTTTGACACCATATTTTTCACCAATGTCAAGTTTATTCCCATGTTAAATTCTTAAATCATAGGTCAGGGGAATTAATGCCCCCTCAGCAGTATCCATATCATTGATGAGTGTGCTGGGTCTATCCTGGCCTCAAAGATAGCAGAGGCAGGATGAGACTCAGAGTGAAGGACAAGAAATACGTTTCACACACAGCAGTTTTGAAGTCAAGAAGATAGTACATAACAAATGACCTACTAGAGTAAAAATGAAAAACCAACAGGCTAAAGGAAAGGCATTTTACTATAATTATTATTTTCAAACATATGAAAAAATGTACAATCAGTTCCTATAATTTCAGTAGAATTTTCTAGAAAGTTCTCCCAGAAGGAAGTAGAGGCAAAAGGAGACTCAGCGGCAGGGGCACCCAGTGTGCCAGGCTGAGCAGCTAGCTGGCTGAGTGGGTCCTGGAAGCCAGCAGACAAATGGGCTCCCAGCACATTCTGCTTCACGGGAAAGCTAAGCTCTGTCTGTGCCACCAGAGCCCAGATGGTGAATTTTGAAACCATCCATATCATTTTCCAGATATTCCACTCACCCAAGTAATTTTGAACTGGGGAAGAATGAAGAAAGGCTGAAGAAAAAATTTCTCAATTAATGAGGACCGTGGGTGATCAAACACATAGCAGAATCCATGGGGAAAGGTTAAAACTGGAATAAAACTTTCCTCAATTGCTCTTATCAACCATTCATAGAAAATTAATTTAAAAATTATAAATATGTTGTATTGAGTCTTTTTTTAAAGTCTGTCTCTTTACTCTTATGTTTTCTAATTTGGATCCGTTCTTTATTAGAGTGTGTCCTTGAGCAATGTTTTCCAAAAGGCACTCATATATAGCAAATTTCCTGAGTATGTGAACATCCAAAAAAACATTGCTTGTCCCTACGAACGTGAATTATATATGACTTCAGTACTGAATTCTACACTCAAGTTATTTGCCCTTAGAAATGTGAAAAAAGCCATCTGGTATCCAGTGACTCAAGTGAGAAAGTTTATGCCCATCTATTCATCTCCCTTTATCAGTCATTGTTTTAGGAGTTTTACAAGCATCTCTTCATGTCTTAGATGCCCTAGGACACACATACACACATTTTCACTGGTAAATATTCAGGCAGATGATAAACAGGGAAGGTTATCATGTTCCTAACAGCCGTCAATCATCACATAAGAAGAACAAACACGAGCACCAAGCAAACACACGCATGCTATGAGAGGGGAGCAGCTACATCAGAGGAACATCAAAGTGATGCTGGGCGACAGGGGGATCTGGGACAGGCCACCCGCCCTCACCTACTCACACACTGAGGGCAGTGCCCTCTCCTCCAGTCCTTCTATAAATACAGGCTGACTCCCTGTACCCCCCAATCACCCAGCTCCCGCTCTCCACCAGACCTTGACCTCCAGGTGACTCTCAGCCATGAGGACCCTCGCCCTCCTCGCTGCCCTTCTCCTCTTGGCCCTCCAGGCCCAGGCCGAGCTCCTCCGAGAGACGGCTGACCAGGCTCCCGCCCAAGACCTGCCCGAGGCCGAGGACCAGGACCAGCCTGGAGCCACAGGCCAGGACATGGCCATCTCCTTTGGAGGAGATGATCGCCTCGCTCGAGACGCCTCAGGTGAGAGACCAGCCAACGTGCTGTTGGGGTCTGCAGCCCATTTGAGGGGCTTGTTAGAGGGGTCTGGAGTCTGCGCTCACTGCTGGGTGTGTGGATGAGGTGGGGTGAGGAGTAGGTACCCCTGAGTTTGAGAGGTGGATTATTGGGGTGGGCGCAAGAATAAATCATGCACATGATAAACCAGGATCAGAGAAAAATTATGACCCTGCAAGCCCAACCCATCGCCGGTAATGTTTCTTGTGATTTATCATCAAAATGTGAGTCCTTTTCACCCTGACATGGCTGGCATTGCCGCCTGTCCGATGACCTGTGACCTCTAGAAGGTGTCCGTGAGGCAGCTCTGCCTGTCCTGCTGCTCTCCTCCCCACTCTGCCTGACACTCCTCTTCCTTCTGCAGGCCTTCGGAGACCAACCACCTGCTACTGCAGAAGGCGCTCATCCTGCCCTGCATATGAGCGTTACTCTGGGACCTGCACGTTAAATGGCATCCTACACCTTCTCTGCTGTCGCTGAGCTTTGCGATCTGAGACCCAAAGCAGTGAGAGCTTCCATTGGAAGACCTGGAAAATCGTTACACTTTCAGCCTTGTACCTTTTCTTGTTTCTGTCTCTGAAATAAACTTCAAGCATCAAAGCATTAACTTAGTGTTTGGCTTTTATTTATTTATTTAATTATTTAATTTTTTTTTGCCTTTTCATAACACTTATGGGTGTGGTCACGTGCATAGAGAATTCTCTCTTGAATGCTCTACTTTAAGCTAACTGGCCTTTGCATCCAGTGGTGCACAATTAGGGCATCACAGAGCAGTCACACAAATAGCAGTACGAATATAACTGTCAACTGACACAATTTTAACCTATAAAATTAATTCCATTCATGATGTTGCTCAAAAGAGAGCAGTTTCTATGAAGTGTATCAAAAAGTGTTGTTGACTCAAAGGAAAGATTGATCCAATGATCTATGTTACTTGTTTTTTAATTTTCAGAAGTGGGAGGGCATTGATCTATGAAGATATTTTTCTTATTCTAGGCAGGAATGCTAGCTATAGATATTTTTTCATAGCTGTATCAATAAGACAGAGTGAACTAATATTTCAGTGTGTTACAAACAAGGAAAAAGTTAATACTATACCAAGAAGAGAATGTGCCAACCAGTATCAGTGGTGTCAGATAATGACCAGACAGAAGAGGAGCCCAGGCGCTGGTCAGTAAGGGTTGTCGGTGAAGCCCGATGACCAGTGGAAGAAACTGACCCCCTTTGAGCCCCAAAAAGTCTATAGGTCCAAAGTCCAATGAAGGCGTTGGTCTCAACTCTCTCTCTTGAAAGAGGTTGAGTCTACTAATGATAATAAAACCCTCATTTTAATAGATTTCCAACAAGAAATAATGTTTTGAATAATGCCTGTTGACCGAGTCAATACATCGTAATGATGAGACAACTACTTGTCAACTTACTATTGTGCCAAAACAACATCTTTTGTGTCTAAAAGGCAAGTAACTAAAATCAAAATTTGTATAAAAGCCAGATATTAAAGAGCACTATGATGTGATAAGAGAAGCCATTTTTATTACAAAAACCACTGAATCGGCTTTTAATAATCTTGGGGACATACCACCAATTTCCTCTTCCTGGTCAAGAGTCAGCTATGTCACACCCAGACCTGAACTGCTGAAGAAAATTCAGACAACCACACAAAACGATAGTGTCTATAAATTGGATGTATGAGTCACTTTTCCAAAGAAACAGAACTAAAAGGATGTGTCTATTTAAGAGATTTATTTTAAGGTGATTGCGGAGACTGGCACTTCCCAAATATTCAGGCCGGGTTATCAGCGTAGAGACCCTGAGAAGAGCCAATGTTACTGTTGACCTGAAGGCAGTCTGCTGGCAGAAACCCCCTTGCCCACAGGAGGTCATTTTTCTATTCGGACCTTCAACTGATTGGATGAGATCCACCCACAGTATAGAGGACAATTTGCTTTCCAAGACTACTGATTTACATATTAATCTCATTCAAGAAACATTCTGAAGGGCTGGCCAAGTGGCTCAGTTTGTTAAGAGCACGAGCTCTGAGCAACAGGGTCATCTGTTCGATTCCCATATGGGCTAGTGAGCTGCACCAGAGCTGCACCCTTGCTGATCTGCTGCTAATCTAACAACAGGTGGCAGGATGGCTCAGCTGGGGAGAGGACATGCTCTTAACAACAAGTCTGATGGTTTCACTCCGGCATGGGATGGTGGGCTGCGACCTCCACAGCTAAGATTGAACACGGCACCTTGAGCTGAGCAGCCGCGAGCTGCGGACAGGCGGCCGGATAGCCACTGGACTTGGAGCTGAGCTAGCTGCACCCTCCACAATAAGATTGAAGGACAACAACTTGGCTGTTCCCCTTCCCCAATTCTCCAACACTGCTCCCCTTCCCCAATTCCCCAATATAATCTTAAAAAAACAAAACAAACAAACAAAAAACACTCTGAAGAAATATCCAGAATAATTTCATCATGTATGTGAAAACTGTGACCTACCAAGCTGGCATATCAAGTGAGCCATCACACTGGACCTTCAATTGTTCTGGGCAATCTTCTAACTCTTCCCAGTGACCTTGTTTACATTCTTCAGAGAGACAGTAGTAAAATCTTTATACCACCCTATTCTCTGTCACTCTTTTTTCAACATTTCATGCGTCTGAAACTTTAAATCTGTCTTCTATCTACATGTAGGGTCATGTGATTGTGGTTTTGCTTTGTATTATTTTGATGAACTTGTACAATGCTGTGGTCCATGCCATCTTAGAATCAAGAAAAAGCGACCATTCCCATTAACATCCATTATGCTACACTTTTCCAGGCATGACAGTACCTGCCTCACATGGCACACCATGACGTAGAAGAGAGATGATCATCTAGCTTTTAGATGTGAAGAAGGGAGACCAGCAGGTGATGACCTGGTCTTCAGTCTCGAGTCCATTGACTCCAAAGCCTAGGGTCTCAAGCTCTGCACGCTACTCCCTCTACACCAGCGGTTCTCAACCTGTGGGTCACGACCCCCTTGGGGGTCGAACGACCCTTTCACAGGGGTTGCCTAAGACCATCGGAAAACAAAAAGATATTTACATTACGATTCATAACAGTAGCAAAATTACAGTTATAGAGTAGCAACGAAAATAATTTTATGGTTGGTGGGGGTCACCACAACATGAGGAACTGTAGTAAGGGGTCACGGCATTAGGAAGGTTGAGAACCGCTGCTCTAAACTGTGTAAAATCTATTACAGGAAAACTGGTGAGGTTGAGTCCCTGTTCAGAGAGACCTGGACAGAGGACCAAGGTGCTCCCATGTCTTCTGTGGAAGATAAACACTGTGTGAGGGCTGGCCGAGAGGCTCAGTTGATTAAGAGCACTCTTAAGAGTGCGATCTCTGTGCAACAGTGGTTCAGTGCCTGGCCTGAGCTGAGCTGCTGCTGAACTGCCAACAGGTGGCAGGATGGCTCACCTAAAAAAATAAATAAATAAACACTATGCTCCACAGGCTTCGGTGACAGATGTCAGCATCTGTGTAATAAGGAGGAACCCAGAGCCTGAGTTCTGGTTTCAGGACTGAAAACCAATTATGGCCGCATGGGTTCCTCATTTAACCTCCAAGGGCCTCTGTTTCTTCATCTGGAAATGGAA